GCTAGTAGGACGCAGCTTGAATGTGAAGAGTATAAAACAGGGGTTGATCCTGGCTAATCCTTAACCTTACAGTGCCAGGATCCCACATGGGCACTGGTTCATGTCCTGGCTGCTCCACTTCCCATCCAGCTCCCTGCTGTGGCCTGGGAAAGCAGTATGAGGTGGCCCAAGGCCTTGGGATCCTGCATCCATGTGGAAAATCTAGACGCTCCTGGCTCCTGGCTTCAGGTTGACTCAGCTCTGGCAGTTGCAGTCATTTGGGGAGTGAAGCAGCAGATGGAAGAGCTTTCTCTCTGTCTCTCCTTCTCCCTGTAAATCTGTCTTTACAATAAAAATAATAAATCTTTAAAAATAATGTAAAACAAACTCCCCTTTGTGACTTGGGAAGCACCATGGGCTAAGCATACTTAGAATTCATTCTTGGTCTGATTCTCAAGTCAAACAATACCTTAAGGGGTCCTTTTCTGGTTTTCCCCACATGTTGAAATCCACAGGGCTGGATCAAGGGCTGTTTCTTTTTTACCTGCTTCCACTATCTTGCTAAAAATCATCAAAACTTACCATTTTATTGATTGTGAATTTTTTCCTAGAAGGGTCCCCTATAGGATCACTTATTTTTCTACAGGCAAGAAAATAAAAGCTCAAAAAGAAAAAAAAAAAAAGGAAAGAAATCAAACAACTTACTCAGCATCATGCATCATACAGCATCCAGAATAATGATTGCTACTCAATTGTTTGGAATCCAGGATTGCTACTTACCTACCAAGAAATTACAGCTGATCTCAGATTGGACCTGGGGTGTCCGTGTCATAGTTTTGCTATCACCCCTGCTTCAACAAACGAATGAGTGAATGAATAAAGTAGCAAAGCTTCATTAGTCCCGATTTGTGAACCTTCTTTCTCTGTAATTCAACTTCTAGTCTCTACGAGGTCCCTCTGAGCAAACAGGGTGAACTGAGCTCCTGGCTTCAGTCTGGTCCGTCCCTGACCAGTGCCTTTGGGGAATGAGCCAGCAGATCAGAACTCTGTCTCTCTAATAAATTAAAACAATTTAAATGAAGGATTGGTTTTTATGCTGGAAGAGTTCCCAAAAGACAAGCCTACTAAATGAAAACAGAACCACAATAAAGCATGTAATTAATTTTTAAAACACTAGGGGGAAAAAGTTCTTGAAGAGAAAAATATTGTATAGTAAAAAATTAAAAAACAACGCATATCATTATTTGAATATATCAAAATATTACATTAGGTATTCTATAAATGTATATGATTTTATTTATTAATTATAAATAAAGTTTGAAAAGAGAATGGGACTTTTCCAAAGCAAGAACACACTAGAATAATGTTTTCAAAATTTGGATTGGAACGTGCTCTTTGGTCATGTTTAAAAATATATTCAAATACAGTGAATTGTTAGACTTATTTATTTGAAAAGCAAAGTCACAGTGGGCTGAGGAGGGTGAGGCAGCGGAGACTGATTATCTGTGGTTCATTCTCTACATAGATCCAATGACCAGGGCTGAGCCCAGCCAAAGCCAGGAGCCAGGAGCTTCATGTAAACCTTCCCTAGGGATGGCAGAGGCTTAAGCACTCAGTCCACCTTCCACTGTTTTCCCTGGTGCATTAGTGGAGAGCTGGACCAGAAGTGGAGCAATTGGAATTTGAGCTGGGACGGTAACAGCAGGGTTGCAGGTGGCAGCTTAACTCACTGCACCAAAATGCCAGCTTCTGGCTACAAAAAAAGGTTTTTTGGGTTGTTGCTGTTCATTTGTTTTTTAATCCTCTCCCTGCAATCTTCCTGAGGAAGTCAGTAAAGGGTATATACCTAGCATGTTTGACTGTACTAAGGAGAGTTCATGGCTCTGTCAGAAAGACTGAGGCTAAACTGACATGTACCTAGAAGAACAAACATTAGAAAAAGAGACAATTAGCAGTACTCTCCATGGATCAACTGTGAATAATATTTACATGGTGTAATACAAATATTGAATTTTTATCCAGAAGCTTTTTATTTGCAGAAGTGTGTGTGCACATGCATGCACATTGTTATAAACAAAAGTTAATCCCTCATATTTCATAGCAGAAATTTATAGATAAATTATTTCAGTCTTGGGACTGTAGCTAAAGGAAGTACAATCTCTTTGTGAGAGAGTGACCTGCAACCCCATATTTATAATATCACAATCCACAATGGCAAAGACATGGAAACAACCCAGATGCCCATTGAAGGAGGAATGGATAAAAAAGAACTATGATACTACTCAGCCATTAAAAATAATGAAATTCTATATTTGCAACAAAGTGGTCCCAACTAGAGACCATTATGCTCAGTGAAATAAGCCAATTAAAAAAAGCACAAAAAATGTATGTTCTCTCTAAGACAACTTTTGTGCAAAAGTCAAAAAGATATTGATGCAAACAAATATAGATTTATAGTCCCAGGAAACAAAGAACTCCAGTATCCATTTCTATTCCCGAGTAAAAGAAGGCTTCCCAATGAAACTGTTCAATAGGCCCGGCGCGGTGGCGCAAGTGGTTAAGTCCTCGCCTTGCACGCCCGGGATCCCATATGGGCGCCGGTTCTAATCCCGGCAGCCCCGCTTCCCTTCCAGCTCCCTGCCTGTGGCCCCGGAAAGCAGTCGAGGACGGCCCAAGGCTTTGGGACCCTGCACCCGTGTGGGAGACCCGGAAGAGGCTCCTGGCTTCGGATCGGCATAGTATCGGCCCGTTGCGCTCACTTGGGGAGTGAATCATCGGACGGAAGATCTTCCTCTCTGTCTCTCCTCTCTGTATATCCGCCTTTCCAATAAAAAATAATAAAAATAAATCTTTAAAAAAAAAAAAAAGAAGAAACTGTTCAATATACATTAATAACAAGAGACTAGCTTCTCTAGCATTGCCTATACCTGCAATGTCTTGCCACATGTAAGTGGCAGAATGTTGGAGTCCTGAATGAAGCTGAAGGTCTGTATTATTTTAGAATACATTGGGAAGTGGGGGAGGGCAAAGGACAGGAAGAGATGGAAGGGTAGAGGGGAAGCCCTATACCTATAACTGTATAATGGAAAAAATTAAAATAATAATATAAAAAAATAAGTCCAGCACAGTACACTTGCACTGTCTGCTCAGGCTCTCCCAAACCCAAAACCTCTAGGGGACAATCTGCTTCCAGGTCCATTGAAGTGATTTGGCAGAACCTGGTTCTTCCCCATACTTTCTTTATTGTTATTTTTATTATTGAGGGTGTTTACATAGTTGATCAGGGTGGGAAGGATCGAAGGTTAGGGGAAAGTGGACGAGACCATTGTTTCCACAGTTTTCTTTCTTTTTTTTTTTTCCTCCTGTATCTGGAGGCAGTGGGGAGGTAAGGGGAGAAGCCACACCCAGCTTCCCTACCACCTTAGCACCCAGGGATGGGGAATGGCCCCCTGGAGGTCATTCCAGGGTCCCTGATGTGGAGCATGCTCCAAGCGATCTGCTTAAGCCTTCTCCATACTTTCTGCTCGGCCCATTATATCAAGTTAGCAACAATGCTTTCAGTCCTTTTCCTGCTTTGAATTTCCTCTTCTTTTTCCAGCCAGAGAGATTTTTCTGCTTTTAAGGACCCAGATACACAGGACGATCTCGTTAAGGTCTCTAACCAAAATCCCAACTGCAAAGTCCCTTTATAGAGTCACAGGTTGCAGGATTCCGGATGTGGGCACCTTTTCGGGAACAGGAATCAGGGTTAAGAGAGTTGCTGTTTCTTTTGGTTGAGAGGTCTGAATAATTCTCTGTGACTCATAAAATCTTGTACCTAGATTATTTTATCAAATAAAAAGTTCAGCTCAATTATCACATGTGCAAATAGTAAATTCAAATGGATTCCATTTTAGGTAGACATATCAAATGCAGTGGTTAGGGGTTGATACTGTGGCACAGTGGGTTAAGCTCACATGTCCCAGCTCCTTCACTTCGATTCAGCTTCCTGCTAATATGTCTGGGAAGGTAGCAGGCATTGGCCCATGTGTTTACAGGGTTCTTGCCACTCATGAGGGAGACCTGTATGAAGTTTCTGGTTCCTGCCTTCTGCCTGATCCAGCCTCGCCTGTTACAGGCATTTAGAGAGTCAACCAGAGGATGGAATATCTCTTTCCCTTTATTTGTCATTCTGCCTTTCAAATAGATTTTTAAAAATCTATGAGGTATCTTGAAAAAAGCTCATGGGAAAAAGAAAAAAGAATTATGCATGGATTTTCAAAAATAAATTTTGCACCAAAGTTAACACTTTTAATTCCATTTCCACATCCATTTTGAAGTACCCTCATATAAGCAATCTACTAGGACATGGTCCATTTTTTCCCTTCTAGGCAAATTTACCTAAGATCTGCAGAAGAGCCCGATTTGGGCAGACTACAAGCCTCATCCAATGTCAGTCCCTTTGTGCTTCCCACTGCATTAAAGGGACTGCTCCTCTGATTACTTTTGGCAGCTACTGCTAATAGCTAGCTACTTCCTGTACCAGAGTATACGTGACTATAAACACATTTTCTTGATTTGTGAAATGAAACTCATCATCTTAGCTTTTATTGTGTGCCAGAATTTAGAGCTAATTTAGCCCAACCTCTCACTTTACAGATAAGATATGTCCATGGTCACAGACTAATGTTTATAGAAAGAGTCTCATTTTCTAATGAGCTTCATAATTTAACAACACCGTTATGAGTTATGGGTGAGAATATAAATCATTTTATTTCACATCTTCATTTTAGAAATTGAGAAACAGATCCAGACAGGGAGAGAGAGAAACCTGCCAAAAGTCATCTGGAACTTCTAAATTTCTAATCCAGGCTTCTGTCCCCTCTACAAAGCAGCCTTTTCTTGACAAACCACCTGATACTAAGCCAAAACTTTGAAATTCCTATTGAATGACCTAGCAAACTGCCTGGTATAAATGTAGATAAATGCATAAATGAGTCTTAAGACGTCATCAAAACTTCACTTGGCAATGAAAATACTTGTAAGTTTTCCAGTTGATGGGCAATTTGGCAATAACGTGAAATAAGATTATCCTTTTCTTTCAGTAGCTCTCTTCTTAGGACAAATCAATGCATTACTGGCTATATTATATGGTTTTTAATATCAGGTCGACTTGCCTTCCAATTCTTAGCCACCTATTAGTTGAGTGAACTGGCACACAGAATGCCATCAATTGTTATTAGTTTCTTCATCTGTCAAATGAAGATATTCATGTAACCTATCTAATGGGATTGACACAGCAATTCAGTGAAACAACACATGCAATTTGGCATATAATAGCTACTAACTAGTCACTCTCTATTTAATTCTCTATCCAGAACATTTTGAAATCTAGCAAGGAAATATTTTCCTGTTACTAATGATAAGCTAAAAATGTGGTCATTAGGAAACAATGTTAAAAGCTCAGGAACCTTTAGGAAGAAATCATTCTGGGAATTGATGTAAAAATATCTAGCATAGCCAGATGTCAGTAAAAAATTTTTCTTGTTAAAGTATGCCAAGACTTAGCTAAAGTATTTACCAATAAAAGCTTTATTGCTTGACCCAATCATTATAGTTTAAGTCTCTTTAATACCTATTCTCTTAAAAAAACTAATATCTTAAAGATAGCATAGCATAATATGCTTTTTATGTGAGTATCAAGTTGAACTTTTAACAGAGCAAGAGTTCATTGTTACGACAAACACTAAATTACTTTGGAAAGCAAATGAGCTTAGGGTCGTTTGGTTCCACTTTCTCTGAGGGGAGGTGAACAAGTTTGTGGCTACAGGAGTTGGGAGCCTCAAGGGTACTTGGTGAATTGTTTTCTGTCATAACACTCAGTGCTGATGTGTTACAGATTAGACAGAGGTTTCTTATTTAACACACACAAATAAGTACATTTCCCTGGATAACTCTAGGATAGCTATATACATAACCTCATCAAGATCAGCACCACTATCTACACCCAAGCCTGTGGGTCCTATCAAGAGTCTGGGTATTGAACACATGTAATCTGGCTAAATACACACACTTCTAAAAACAAAACAAAACAAAAAAACAAAACAACACTTCCAGAGCTCAACACAAGGGAGAAACGGACTCTATTGTGCTAGTCAACTCATTTTGCTGGGAAGATAGGAGATTCTGTCACCCTCTCTATAGGTTATTGAATCACTAAAAATCAATCTTGTTAGTTTCAAATGCAACACACTAAATATGATTTGCTTGTAACTAGAGGTCCCTTATCATGTATGCCACTACAAGCCATGTATATACATCATCTACAGCATGACAGCAAGCACTCTGCATTCGATTTTAAGCTTAATGTTAGAAAGGATCAACTGTCTGCTTCCAGTAATTACCACTATTTATCAAATGTGTACATCTTTCATGTGCTGTTTGCAAAGTTTTTACTAATAGTAAATAAGGTGCATGCTTGTTTTAATCAGAAAACAGTAGGCACAACAAAACAGCAAAGGTGAAGGCAAGTGATATGTGATAAGATAAAATAGCTGCCCTGGAATTTTTTCATCATGTTTATTCTTTTAACTCCCACTTTCCTCTCCACTATTTACAACAGTTCCCCCCAAATCAGACAAAAGAGAAACATTTGGGTGACATACAAAAAGACAATTAATATTTATTTTACTCAAGCTTTCCTAAGAACAAGTTCAACAAATTGATCCTTGGTTGGTTTCATGCATTATAAAAACTGTTAACATTTTTTTCAGGTTATACCTTTTGGTGCCCAGTTGAAGAAAAAACTTATCTGAACCAAAGACTAGGAATGATGATTATTTACAGTGGGCTTATTTATATATATATGTATATATATAAATCCATGTAGGGTTAAAAGAAAAACAACTGATTTTCTATCGGTGGCATAAATCCCAGGAAAATGTTGAAGCTTCCAAGATTAGGCCTCAACTTTGAGAAACTGGAAAAGCATCAAAGGTACTCCCATGCCACCACCTTTCCTCTTGGCTATTTTACTGCTAAGAAGCAGAATACAAACAAAACCAAATTTACCTACTCCTGAGCTACATGACTGCAAGTATCAGTAGTTCATTCTCCTTTGCCAACTAAACAGATTCACAGGGGAAAATGACTTTGGGTGAGGCATTTATGAGTGGGTTTGCTTCTTGGCATTACAAAAGACCTGCCTAGGAAGTGATCTTATTCCTGTGTAGGAAAATCAAATATTCTTTCTGGTGAAGAGTACAATAATCCAGTATAGCTATCACCCAGCCTCAATCTGACCTCAAGAAACATAAGCACCAGAAGGAAATACCTTTAGATCTACCGCTTTCATGACCGCCATTCTCCATAGGGGCTTCTGCACAAATCTGGAGAGCAGAGGTCCCTAGTATCCCCTCACCCCTTAGAGTAGGAACTGCAGTTGACATAGTTTTAGGAATATAAATTTATAAATGTTTGGAGTATTTGCAGTGCAAACTTTTGTATTTCTCATCAGTAACTTGATTCTGTATTGCGTGGACATGAAGGGGTACTTGTGTGGGCTGAGGAGGGGGGCATCTCTCATTTCCCTTACTTTAAATTAGGAGGAAGCAAGAGTAATAGATGTAATATACAATATATGGATATGTTAGAAGGACTGAGAATAGAACCCTAACATATGAAAAAGTGAGTACAGGCATCGACACCTTGGATGGCTATCAATGTAAGACACAAAAACCTATGTAACCATTTGTGCTAAGGGAAAGAATCCTAGGGCCCATCTTGTTAAGAGATACAACTGTTCCTTCTTCTGAAGCAAATAGTTACATTTGAAGTAAAGATAATATCTCATTTCTGGGAAATGCACAGGGAACTATCCTCATCAGATGCTGAAAATCCTCAAACTGCAGACTCAAGTAGAAGTTACAAAATCAATGTTTTTCAGTCCACTCATACTTTCCTTGAGATGCATATCACCCCCTGCTTGTCTAGGCGTTCTGAGCAAATTCACATTTTAATTTCCAAATCAAAGGCAAAAGGGAAGGATAAATTGAGGTGGGAGTAGACTGTTTGAAAAACACTGGTAGAGACAAATTGGTAAGAATTAAGAAATCCCAATTCGACTAGTAAACTCTGCTGGGATGTATATGTGCCTCACTTCTGGGGCTTAGTACAAGACAAGCACTAAATACTTGATTTGAGTAGCTCAGGTGATGGAAAACATATAGACCCATATACCCACACCCACAATCATTAGAGACTTCATGGTTCAAAGTCTTAATAGCCAATGAGTCATTCTGCCCACTGCTCTTAAAAGCCTGCAGTGTCTTGGAACAGTCAGTAGAGGAAGTGCCTCCGCTTTTTCTGCTATTGTCATCAGCCTGTCCAATACCGATATCCGGGGCTTTCAAAAGCTAAAGGAAAATGCTATTGAAGGGGAACACACTGCTTTCAGGCTCTTAAGAATTTCAATAGCCACAAACAGTACACAATAGGCTCCCAAACAATACACTTCAGATATTTCTTTTTTCAATTTTGTTTTTTTCAGAGCTTTTCTATGACTTCAGTTCTGCATCAATGTTTGCGCACAAAATCAGTTCCCGCACAAATGAAGCTGTTGGTAGGTACTGTTTGACCCAAAGTATACAAAGGAAGCACAGATCACATCTCAGCTCTTGATGAGATTAACTCTACTGTCACCACTGCTTTTTGCTTTGTCCCCTAGCTTGAAGTCCTTGAACAAGATTTCTGCTTTTGTAATTCAGTGAGAATGAGTCCACCTCTCTTCTCCAAAGAGCCTGCATTTGTTTAGTCTTTCCGTGTATGACTCACAAAAAGACCTGTGGCTCTTCACGTTTTTCAATGATCCAGTAGTTTCAGTTTCTATTTAGCAAGTCCCCAGATAACAATTGGAGAATGGGATGACTCTTCACAGGGTCACATTGAAGGTAAAAATAAATTATCTCCATCACTGAGAGGCTTTCTTCAGGTTTTCTATCAGCACTACAGAGTCAGTTTCTTCTTTGGTTTGCTTCTCATAGATGTCATACTTCTTCCACTGCTGGAAGGAGGAAAAAAAAAACCACATGATGATTTTTCTAAACAATGTTCTTTCCCTGAGTACCCACAGTCAATGCTTATTTTTAGATTTGCGTGCGTAGAACCATGAGTGTATCTTTTCCTGTTTTTTTTTTTAAGTTATTTACTTGAAAGGCAGAGAGAGAGAGAGAAAGAAAGCGAGATCATCTTTATGCTAGATCACTTTCCAAAAGCCTACAACAGCCAATAGTCTGGAACCCCAACCAGGTCTCTGACACGAGTGGCAGGAGCCCAGGAACCCGGGGTCATCTTCCACTGCCTTCAAGGTGCATCAGCAGAAGGTAGGATCAGAAACGTGGAGGAGCCAGGCACTCCGATTTGGGGTGCAGGCATCCCATGAGGCTGCCCAATGCCTGCCGGCTTGTTTTTGTATCTTTAAACTTAAGAATGTGCATCTGTCTAATAATAACATTAAAGAGAGAGAAAGCATGGGATTGCATAGAATGCTTGATGGATGATTTAAAAGATAAACAAGATAAATTTGTACATTTCCAAAATTGGAAACAAATTCTTTAGAGGAAACATTATTGGAAGCATGCTTTCTTCACATCAACTGTTTCATTTAGGCCTTCATTTTCTCAACTTTCTTACTACTTAAAGTTTACCACTGGTCCAGAAATATAAGAGGTTGAAAGGGTCAACTGTTACCAAGGTGAAATGGTAATATACACAGGATGTCCCAAAGACCTAAGTGCAGTGCAAAGTTTCAAAAGACTATATATTAACAGTTTGATCCAAAATCACTTGCTAGAACAGAAAATTATGCATAAGGCAAGTTCATCTTGGACTCAATTCAAGTATGTCTTTTACAGTGGCAACCAGCACCTTGATCCCTGCCTTCTTATAAATAAGGAGGAAAGCAGGAAACATGAACTCGGGCCTCTTCTCTGCCAGACTACACCAGGGAACCAGGGAGCAAATCAGTCTACGTGCACATTTTCATAAAGTTTGACTGGAAAATGCTCAGTTGTTGTTTATGTTTATCTTACTGCTCTGGGCAAGAATGGATCTAACATCTGTATTGTTCCAGGTCCTTGCCTCAAGCTTAAGAAAACATTCTAAGTATAGGTACAAATCCGACTTACAAATTGACAAAATTTATTGAAAGAATAAGGCAACCACAGATACATGTGACCCACATTCAGAAACAGAGTGAGCCAGGAAGGGAAAGGTGGGAGAGACAGCTCTGTCTAAAGAAGACAGAGCATAAGCTTCTGTGAACTTGGGGGTGGTGGTTATGTGAAGTCATCCACGGGTCCCAGGTGAGAGGAGGTACCTCCTGGGGAAAAAGGCTCATCTGACTACATGAGGGTGTTTGTGGCTTCCAGCTCCTGAGGTTTAGATGAGCTTGCCTATCTATTCTGATATCATTACGGTTACTTTCACGCTATAATCACAGAACTTAGTTGTGACAAAGACTGAGTATCTGGCAAAGGTAAAAATATTTAATGTCTGTTCTTACAGAAATAGCTTGCTAACCCCTGTACCACATTTTGTCTAAATTGCCTTTCTGCTTTGATACTCTCTGATTCTGTAAGCTTAAGAAATGGGAAGACTAGAAACAAACAGCAGCAACTGTGATTATTCAGCGTCTTCAGATTGTGCAATTGAAGATGAACTGAGCAAATTAGGAATATCCAGTGTTAAGAGTGTGTACATACAGAGGAAGCAGTTGGGGAACCTTGCCTTGGGCTCAGCAAGCTAAATGGCCATATGCAATACTCGGTAGTTTGAGTCCTGGCTGCTCCACTTCTGATCCAACTTCCTGTTAATGAGCCGTGCAGGCCGAAGGGTTTGGACCCATGCTATGCACAGGAGGGTAGAGATGGAGACCAGGATGGGGCTTCCCAACCTTGGCTTTGGCCTAGCCAAGATCTAGCTAGCTGTGTAGTCATTTGGGCATTGATCCAGTAGATGGAAGAACTTTTTTTCTGCTTCTCCCCCAATGATGTTCTGCTTTTCAGATAAATTAAATAAATATTTTTCAAAACAAAACACTGCCTAAAACATCCGAATTCTTTTAAATAAATGGCTTGATACTGATACACACCTAGTAGATGAGTAAAATTAAAAAATAAAAATAATTCTGGGCCTGATGCAGAAGCCTAGTGGCTAAAGTCCTCGCCTTGCACACGCCAGGATCCCATATGGGTGCTGGTTCTAATCCCGGCAGCCACACTTCCCATGCAGCCCCTTGCATGTGGCTTGGGAAAGCAGTTGAGGACCACCCAAAGCCTTGGGACCCTGCAGAGGCTCCTGGCTCCGGATCGTCTGAGCTCTGGCTCTTGCACCACCTGGGGAGCGAATCAATGGACAGAAGATCTTGCTCTTTGTCTCTCTTCCTCTCTGTATATCTGACTTTCCAATAAAGATAAATCTTTTAAAAATACTTATAACCCTAAATGCTGATTAAGATCTTTCATAAATTGCTGGTAGAAATGTAAAATAGTAGTCACTATGGAAAAGTCTGATAATTTCTTAAAAGCATATATTTATAACAAATCTAGGAATTTCTCTCCCAGACATTTACTCAGAAGAAATGAAACCATGTCCCAAAGAGACTTCTACATGAATGTTTACAGTAGTTTTAATCATAATAGATTAAAAAGTGGACACAACCCTGATAACCTTGAGCAAGTGAATGGTTAAACAAACTCTGGCATAGCAATAGCAGGACATTCAACTCAGCAATAAAAAGAAATGAGCTACTCATACACTTAACAATGTGGACATCTCTCAAACGCATTATGTTAAGTGAAAGAAGCCAAAATGAAAAAGCTAGGTACTGTTTGATTTAATTTATATGACATTCTGTTAAAGGTAGAATGTCAAGGACAGAAAAGAAGTTGGTGACTGCAATGGTCTTGGATTGGGAAGGGATATGAAGGTGCCTGAGGGAGCTTTTGGGAAATAATGAAAAAAATTCCATATCTTAATTGGGATGGTCGCTGCAACATTGCATATATTTTCAAAAACTCTTCTAACTGTACACTTAAAAAGATGAAATCTTAGAGCTAGTATGATGGTTCAACAGGCTAATCCTCCACTAGCACTCCCAGCATCCCAAATGGTACAAGTTCTGGTCCTGGCTGCCCCACTTCTGATCCAGCTCCCTGCTTCTGGACTGAGAAAGCAGTGGAGGATGGCTCAAGTCCTCGGGTCCTTGTATCCATGTGGGTTGAGACCTGAGAGAATCCTGGCTCCTGGCTTTGCATCGGCTCAGGCTCAACTTCAGCTGTTGTGGCCATTTGGAAAATAGATGGAAAATCTCTCTTTTTCTGTGTCTCCTCTCTGCAAATCTGCGTTTCAAATAAAAGTAAATCTTTTTTCAAAAAATGAAATCTTATTATATGTGAGCCAACTTGCTTTTTTATATTGGGATATGCACAGATTTCCACTAAGAACAATGTGCAGTAATTTGGACCCAGCATAATAGTGTAGTGGCTAAAGTCCTCGCCTTGTATGCGCCCGGGATCCCATATGGGCCCTGGTTCTAATCCTGGCAGCCCCATTTCCCATCCAGCCCCCTGCATGTGGCCTGGGAAAGCAGTTGAGGACGGCCCAAAGATTTGGGACCCTGCACCCGCATGGGAGACCCGGAAGAGGCTCCTGGCTCCTGGCTTCAGATTGGCTCAGCTCCAGCCATTGTGGTTGCTTGGGGAGTGAACCATCAGATGGAAGATCTTCCTCTCTGTCTCTCCTCTCTGTACATCTGCCTTTCCAATAAAAATAAATAAATTTAAAAAAATTTTAAAAAGAACAATGTGCAGTAATTCTATAACTTCTAATGGCAATAAGACAACTGGCCATGAACTTGAAAAGCCAAGCTACACCCCATCTGGCTGCCTATACAAATAAACTGCTGACAGATTGAAGACTTGCATACATACAAAAGGAATAAAGGGAACACTGAAAAAATACATGGGTAAGAAGAGCTTTCTACATGTCAAAAATAGACAGATTTTACTGCATTAAAAGAGAACACACTTACACACATCATTAATCACCCTAAACACAATACAAGGGCAAACACGAATGACAAGTCAAAGGACTAATATCTGATATATAACGAGCTTCAGAAATTAGCAAGGAAAAGATGAACCACAGGGGGGAAATGCACAAAGAATAAGAATGCCACAAAACATTTATCCAAGCTAATGAACTTGGATGATACAAAATCTGACATGTAAAAGTAAAATAAGAAGCTTTTTTTCTTATTAATCATCATAACAAGATTTTTTTTAATTAGATGATATCATGTGACAAAAGTATGACCAGACAACCACTGAGATATACTACTGGTAGGTGTATAAACTGATAAAAGAGTTGTGACTTAATCTATGCCTCTTTAGAAAAATTTCATTCTGTGCATTCTAATATTCTTATTTCCTTAACACACACACAAAAGTTGTGCTGTACATAGGGTTGTTTCATTTAACAGTGTATGCTACATTAGTAAAACAGATGTACTTATTTTCTTTAACCTCTACATGTTTCAATGCATGAAGGCACTGTAACTTAAGATTTATTTATTTATTTATTATTTGAAAGGCAAAATTACAGTGGAGAGAGAGAGAGAGAGAGAGAGAGAGAATGAGAACATGAATGAGAATCTTCCATTTGCTGGCTCACTTAGCAAATGTTCAAAACAGTCAGAGCTAAGACAATCCAATGCCAGGAGCTAGGAGTTTCTTCCAGGTCTCCCACGTGGGTGCAGGGGCCCAAGGACTTGAGAAACTCCCTACTGCTTTCCCAGTGCAGAAGCAGGGAACTGGATCAGAAGTGGGGCAGCCAGGATTAGAACTTGTACCATTTGGGATGCTGATGCTGCAGGTGGAGAATTTAGCCTGCTAAACCATGGTGCTGGTTGCTGGTACCACTACTTATTTAACAAGTAACCTTAATAGATTCTAAACTTGTGTTTTTCAGGATATTGATTTGCCAATATCAGAATTTAAACTG